CTGTAGCAAAAGAAGGCATTCTGTCAACCAGAAAACTGATATCTTAAGTCTTCTAGTTGATTTGAATTTCTACCTTTTGTGAACTACTAACTTTAGAGAAAAATATGTTGGGATCTGGTATTTATCATGTTTGTTCTTAACAAAGGTTGAAAAATATGTAGTACATGGCTGCTAAGAGAAATTTGAATATGTGGGGGAGTTTTGATTTAGAAATAAGACACTAAAATCAATCCTGACATATGTTCAGCTGTGTTTATTTTCCATGATTACACATTTTGAAATGTGATCCTATACAGATGAGCTCAGTGAGTGTTTATTTAAATTTTTGATTTGTCATTCATGTTGCATAAGAAGATAACACACAGCTAGATTTTTCAGAATTCCCTTCTTAAAATATACCAGTATATCTGTATTTATAGGAAAACCTGAATAGTGCTTGAGGAGAAATTAGTGTTTGTTCACCACCCTTTTTCTTGCAACTTTTTAAAATAATTTGACCACCTGAGATAATTTTGAAGTCTTTGAAACATGAAAAAAACAGCACTGTGTAAACAACTCTTTTCCATCCCCCCATTCCCACACATTATATCCACCCCTTCAAAAAATTCAACTTCATTCAGCTAAGTACAACTTCTAGAGCTAGGGAGAAAGGAAAATTATAAGTAAATCTCTTTGTGAGTATAATACTGGTGTTCTTCTTTCCATATATAATTACAATATCCAGATTTACCTCAAATGTGACTTGTTTTTAAAAGAATCATAATAATAAATGGTAGAAACAAATGTTGACTGACTTAATGTGAAAAAAGTCATTGTTGGGAACAGGAAAAAAGATTTATGATCCAGGTCTGGTTATATATCATTCTTCATTTTAATCACAGAGGCTTCCTATGATCATTCAAAACTTTACCTAGTCTTCCTCGATATTTCCAGTGGCTAAAAGGATGTGTGTTCAGAAAACAAAGAGAATTAGGATCAAGAAGCATTCCTATATAATGTAATAAGAAGATATCTTTACCTTGTTTTCTTTTTACTGACATCTTCATATGTTAAAGAAAATGTCAGTATTTCATAGTTGAAAACATTTTTCAAAAAAAAAAATTAGGCAGTTATACAAGCAAATTCGTTGCAATTTACAAGGTTGGAAAATAGGTGGCAGTATACTCTAACTCCACTGAAATAGTTAAGGGAAAGTATTTTTAGTTGGATTTTAAAGCTATTTGGTAAAGCTATTTAGGAAGGTTTCTTTTCTAACTTTCCTTTTAATCAGAATGAAAAGCAATAAGGTATCATCAATTGGTACTGCTTCTTCCATTTTACAAATGAGGAAATTGAGGCTTACAGCATAAGTAACACCCCTGGACACAATTAGTAACTATTAGAGTTGAAATTTCTCCTGCCCAATAATCTGTATTGTCTCCCTCTCAAATATTAAGATATAAATATTGGGTTTTTAAATACATCATTTCCTCCCTCCCATCCCTTCTGATTTTGTTGTTTATGTTGATACAACTTAAAATGCTAGAATTTTTATTTTTACAGAATTAAGTCAGCTAAACTGATAATCTCTAAAATGATTGGAAAATGGTCATTTACTAAAAAAGTCAACTAAAGCAAAGAATGATTTTTTAAATGACATGTACAGATCCATTATTTTATCATAAAACATGTATTAATTTGCCAATATTAATATGCAGCCACCTGGATATAATTACTGATTAAAATTGTCTTTTTAAATATAAGTTATACTTAATGTAATTTGTTTGTTTTCCAGTGTTTCGATAAAGTACAACATGAACTAGCAAAACTTTCAAAGCTGTCTAATTATAAGATCATTCTAGGTGTTTTTCCTCCACCTAAGTTAGCAGTAATTTTTTCTTTTTTTTTTTTTTTTTTTAAAGAGAGAGTGAGAGAGGAGAGAGAGAATTTTTAATATTTATTTTTAGTTCTCGGCAGACACAACATCTTTGTTTGTATGTGGTGCTGAGGATCGAACCCGGGCCGCACGCATGCCAGGCGAGCGCGCTACCGCTTGAGCCACATCTCCAGCCCCCAGTAATTTTTTCTTATAATGTATATTTATATATTCTTTTTATAATGTTCATAAACACTTTTAAAATAACTTTTTCATCATTTTATGCCATTTTACTTATGTACTATTAACAAATACAAGTGACAACCATTTGAAAACAACAGACTAGTAAACATGCAAGTCATTTAAGGTAACTTCTTGTTTGATTCAAATGAGAATATAGAAATTTCTTTAAAAACTCTTTTTTTACTGGAATACATATTTTCTTCTTACTTGAGGCATTCTAAAGTGATTCTCAGCTAGAGTGCAGCTTATCATCTGTGGGTATTTTTTCAGCTACTCTGCTATTTCTCAGTCTGAACCTCTCCAGTTTTATGCATTCTTTCACCTATTCAGGTGAGAATAGCTGCTATAGAAGCAGTATTTATACCTTTCAAGTGAGATTGGGCAGGAATAATATTCCAAGCTCTATTTTATTTCAGTCTTCAAGTGCTGGCAAAGAATTTTCTTGTCAGCCATTAATTTTTTTATTTTTAAAGTGTTTATTAAGAATTCAGGAGCTGGGATTGTGGCTCAGCGGTAGATCGCTTACCTACCATGGGCAAGGCCCTGGGTTCGATCCTCAGCACCACATAAAAATAAACAAATTAATTAAAGATATTATATCAAACTACAACTAAAAAATAAATATTTAAAAAAATTCATTAACACCTAACCAAGCACGTGGCACATACCTGTAATCCCAGTGACTAGGGAGGCTGAGGCAGAAGAATCGTGAGTTCAAGCCAGCCTCAGCAAAAAATGGAGTGCTAAGCAAATCAGTGAGACCCTGTCTCTAAATATAATACAAAATAGAGCTGGGGATATGGCTCAGTGGTCAAGTGTCCTTGAGTTCAGTCTATCTACCACCATCCCCCACAAAAAAAAAAAAAAAAAAAAAAAAAAAACTTCATAATGGTTGACAGGAGTGAAGAATGGTTAGAGGAGGGGGGAGATAGGCAAGACTATAAATGGTAGCATGATGGACATCTTGGTGAAGGAATAGTCTGCATCTTGATTGTAGTGACAGTCCCAGGAATCAACACATGTGATAAAATGATACAGAAGCTTTATATCAGTGTCAGCTTCCTGGCATCAATGTCTTTGTGTACTTTTACTATATATAAGGTATAATCATTGCAGAAACTGAATGAGGAATTCACAGGACTTCTCAATACTGTCTTTGCAACTTCCAGTGAATACATCATTTTTCAAAATAAGTGTTTTTAAAGTCCCTAAAATCTTATAGTTTTATTTTTTCTATATCAAAGTTGACTGAATATACAGTTATTTTAAATGCTGTGTATTTTCTTTGTAAGTTATAGAGCTAAAAGTAATTTAGATTTTGCTATGAATTTTCTACCAACAGTATATTTCTTTGTTTTTCAATTGTTTGGTGGTTTTTTGGTTTGTTTTTTAGTATGTGCCAAGAGTTGTAACTTCAGCACATCAGAAAGCTGGAAGAACAATTACAGCCCGGATCACAGGGAGATGTGAATTTGCTCCAAAAAACAGAATTAATAGCAGTTTAGCTATAATGGGAGTTTCTCCACCCATGAGTTCAGTTATCGTGGAAAAACATCATCCAGTCACAGTGGTAAGTCCACATCCCATGACATATTGTCAAAAAATCTTTTTCTTGAGTGAGAGTTTATAGACTACTCAATCCTTCAGCGTGGTTTTGAGAAGATGAGAATTCATGATTGGCACTTGTTCTGCCTCATACTGTTACAATCTGCATATACTTCCTCTTACCAAATCTACCTTTCCCATTTTTAGCAATTGATTTAAGAAACATTGTTTCTTCTAAATAGTATAAAAGTTATCAAATACACGGGGGG